TGGGCAAGGCTGACCGACATTCAGAATCGAAGGGAACCTCTGCCTTCTCGCTCTTCTCTGGCCGGCTAGATTCCCCGAGAAGTATTGGACGACGACAAAAAGGTAAGCCCCTTGAAACAGTTGAAAGTGGTATTCTACGGCATCCTCATCGGGTGCCTCCGAAACCCCCAGAGTGCCAAAGAACTCGTCTCTCACCTCCGGCAGCGAGAAGATATATGATTCAATGACGTCCAGAAGATTCTTCATCCAACAGACTTTGGCCTGTTCCGAGTACATTGCCCCCAGAGCGACACAGCCCAACACGAGAGGGATAGGGGCAAAAGCAGGTCGAAAGGATGGGCGATGGATAATCGGACAGTGCCGGTAAAAGTTTTGAAAGAACAGGGTGAGACAGTGGTCTATTTCCACATGGGTGAGGAGTCCGATGTTTGTCTCCAGGTGCTCGAGCTGAGGACTGTCCGGGTACTCGATTGCGAACTTGGTGGTTACCCCCAGCAGCAGCTGTCGAATCTCAAAGGCGCGAGGTTCGAGCGCCCTGGCGGATGGAGAACCAAAACCCGTCCCGCTCGTGACGTGTGGCATGTTAGCATTTGGGGGATACGAACTAAACGTCGAGCTGTCAAAGCCTCCGAAGAAAGAGTCGAAATTTACACAATCCAGGTCAGCTAGAATTGCACCAACGAAGACATCGCGGGGGTTTCCGTAGTCCTCGCTCCAATGTGAGGCACCGGAGGAGTCCTCTGTTCCGTTCGCCGCATCGTCCTCGTCGCGCCCGGCGCGTGAAGGGGTATCTCGAATCGGGAACCGGGGCACCAGGTCATCGCCGTCAGGAGCATTGAGCAGATGATGGATCGGGATCGCGTCTCGACTTTTAGGCCTGGCAGCCGCTTGCGCCCTTTGGGGACTAGATGCCGCTACACACCGTCAGAAAAGTGTCGCGTCCACCCGGCGGTACAGACCACGTACATCGGATGCATTCCTCTCCCCGTTCCTGACAGCGAGTACAGGGAGTTTCTTGGTCACATTTCGTCCTCAGCTTTACACAGGAAAGACACGAAGATCTCTTTCGGCCTTTCGGCCGCCCCTCGGGTAATGGCGCTGAGCCGCGTTCTTTGCATTGAAACTGATGGGCTCGAAGAACATCACTGAGCCAACGTCAGAACAGCCCCCTCTTGGCTTTTGAGTGGAGATGTCGATGTTACCTTCGCTTATAGCATTTGGAGCAGAAAGTACAGGTGAAGGGTCTTTGTGCGACATCTGCGGAAGCGAAGTCAGCACACGCAAAGCTGGCCAAGTCGGGGAATCTATAGCCACAGACGTACGTTGCTGCTGATGACGGAGCATGTGGGCCTTTCGAACAAACGACTTGGAACACGACGGGCACCGAAACTGTTTCTGCCACTGACGGGACTGGTCCATGATTGAGGCTGTCATCGGCAAGTAAGAATTCAAAATGTCAACCACTACCTAGGGGAGCGCCTGGGCCAATAGGCTGGAGGATTGCTAGGCGAAGATCGGTCGGTAATCTCAATGCTGGGCTTCGGGAACATGGATATTACACACTACACGAGGTTGTTCTCGAGCAGCATGGCGATCAAGTGTGGTCGCAGGGGATTGGGTCTCTCGAGTGTCGTGTCATATGAGATCCATCGATGACCACACCGAGCGGGAACGGAGCGAGATGAGACGAGGTTGACGTAACCGGCCGTATGTAGCAGTCCGGGCGGTGGTATATAGCCTT